TGAATCCGTTTATACGGGTTCAAATGGGCTATTTTTTGGCCGAGCCTAATAGCTTGGGAATTGCTCACGTTAAAAAGGCCTTGTGCCACATGACACTCTCGTGGGTTGGGGTGACTGAATATCGTCAGTAGTTCAAGTCTGAACTGACTGTTCGGTTAAACTCTCTCCCTACGGGCGGGAGGAACCCGAAGGAGGCTACGCCGAAGGACGGAGTCTCCTTCGGGGAGGTAAAACCGGCCCAGAACCCGTTTATACGTGTTCAAATGGGTTTTTTTTTGGCCGAGCCTAATGGCTTGGGAATTGCCCACGTTAAAAAGGCCTTGTGCCACATGACACCCTCGTGGGGGGTGACTGAATATAGTCAGTAGTTCAAGTCGAGTCAAGAGTCGAGTCAGAGGCAGTCCGAAACAGAGTCGCGTTCAGACAATTACTACAAGACATTGGAAGAGTGATACTGGTCGAGACTACATTATTCTCTCTACTAAACCTGATTGTTCATACTAACACTTCTACTTCTCTGTATATATTCCTGTTTGTAATATATCTGTGTTATTCCATACCTGTGTTCGACTTCTTCTTTATTTGTTCTATCTTAGACTATCACCGTGTTACAAGGAAGCGGACCATAACACTTAATACTTTTTCCAGATTTTGGAAGGCATCTTACGCTATCCCAATATGCCTTTTGGAATTCTTTATCCCAGTTTTCGCTCTCTGTTAAAACACTTCCCAGTAAATTCGTATTTACTTGATTTCGATACCTCCAATTTGTAGTTGCAATCTTGGGTTTTTCTTTTGCCGACAATCATGCATTATATTTGATTACAATTTATATTTAATCCTTTCTTCTCGCTTTCTTTTACTGCTTCTGTAGGAGATTCCTGTAGTTACCTTTCTGTGCTTACTATCAGAACTGTTTCATCTGAATATTGAATGTTGCCAATAGTGTATCTAGCAATGATAAATTCTTGTAGGACTTCTAATTCTCTCAGAAGACAACTCTTTCTATACCTGCGTATTTACTGAATTCATTTTATATCCGAATGGATGCCGTTTATGCAAGTTTAGTAAATATCAAAGTGAATTACAAAGATATTTTATTTTTGGCGCAATATATTTTAATGATTAAAATTACCACCAATAATAATTTTTTTGTCGAAAAGTTCCTAAGGTATTTGCATTATTTACATTGTAAATTGTTGTCCTCATCTTTTCCATATTCATGGCGTTTCGGATGTTGTGCGCTCAAGCCTTCTTCAGATGATTGGAATTTCGAACTGAACCCTTTATTATTTAGATTGTTAGAGTTCCACGTGAAATGCCTCTTCCGGATATCTTAGTTACCTCTCTTTAACTCAAATCTCCAAGATTATGTTCCTCATTGCAGTAGCCAGATTTGAACTCACAACTCTTTGGTTCAAGTCACTAAGTATTTTTATATATCGATAAAACTTCCACCACTGTGTTTACCGTAATTTTCCGTGTATAACACGCACTTTTCCTTATTTTTAAAACTAAATGTTAGGGGTGCGTATAATAAGCGAGAATCAAATATTAACCCTTTTTTTTTTTCTGACCATGAAAATTCCGAAGAGGTTATCAGGGACTTGATAAGAGCATAAAAAAGTTAAAGTTATTTTACCCCTGAATTTTACACATTTTCATACCAGACGCCATTTTACCAGATTGCTATCTGTAACAAAGGAAAATAAATAAATAAATAAATAGATAAATAAATTATTTGTGTGATGGTTCAGCGTCGACATTCATATAACCAACTTCCATCCAAAATAATAAAACAGGAGGTATTATTTTCGGATTGACACATGGATGTTGATACTTTGTTTTATTGCTGGCAATAGCATTATTGCAAAGATAGGTTGCAGTCAGAATTTGCTCCTTAGAAATGATAAATCAGAGAGACTCCAAAGATAACTGTATTATTTCAGATTATAGAATAAAGATTAAAGTAGAATGTATTTTATTTTGCTGATTAAAGCGAGGCATTCTGCTGATGTTTTTTTTTGTGTTTATATTCACTTCTATTACACTTGTATCGTATATACTATAATGACTAATGCTTTTTATATTTCATGAGCTTACAGCAAGCTTACGTTGAAAACACCGGCTCCCGTACGATTATCGAAGTTAAGCAAAGTCAGCCTGGGAATACCAGGTGCTGTAAAAATGGATGTGCGGTTGGTCTAAAGTGCTTATCGCCACATCACGTAGACACCGGTTACCTTATGATTATTGGAGTTAAACAAGGTTATATTCACTTATGCGCAAATACCCTTTAGAAAAGTATGAATCTACCTCTTGTTCCTCCAGTTATGGGTTAATTAATAAGATTTGTATCTCTAAATCAATATTATCTATGAAAATATTCTTACAATCTAAAAATAGCTTCTGGTTTTAAATTGTTTGCAAAGGGTTGATGAACCGTAAAAAACGAATGGATGAATCAATCAGTTTACGTTCGGATTGAACCTCGGGTCTTTCTGTTTCGATTTACACGTGAGGAGCAAAAAATAAATGGTTTATTGGCGGTAATGTTTAACCTATATGGCCACACCACTAACCTCCACCCACCGTAGTAAGACAAGAGACATTGCTTTCGTATCCAACTTCGGGTGTTGCTGCTTCTATTTTTGCTAACAAGCAATACATTGGCAGCGTGTTTATTTTTAACATTGTTGCAAAAATAAGTCTCATTTGGACTCGTAAGTTGCTTTCAAATTTTCCTTCTTAGAGCTGAGAAAAGAACAGAGAGATTCAAAAGATTACTGAGACGATGTTATTCCAGACCAGGGTAAATGCCGCACTCGAATTCCAGCCAAATGACAGATTTGGGCCAAAATTATAATTTAGACCGATTCTTCAAATCATAAACTCCGTAGAACTTCAATTGAGTTGATTTCTTCAAATCACAAACTCTTCGGAAATTCAAAACTTCCCATCACGGAAACTCTCACTTTAACTCTGATTCTTTGATATTTTTAAGAAATAAAATTGATAATTCAAAAAGTTTTGGAGACATTTTGAACTGAATTTAAAACAAAGATTTTTACATTCACAAAATTTTGTCTTACTTTAAACGCAATATAAATTTAAAAAAAAATACAAAAAACTTTTAAAATCACTAAACTTTTCAGTTATTTCCAAATTTGAATTTTTAACTGTTCCCTCCTCAACCGGAAAAAAAATCCCAATGCTGGATGTTTAAGCAGCAGATGAAGAGTAGATTTTCAATGCTTGAATCATCCTGAGTCCACAAAAGGCATATATCTATGGTGATTTTCTAAGCCCGGCTTAGATGTTGCACAAGGCCGAAAGTATCGTGCACCCAGTGAGGATCGAACTCACTACTCAGTCGTAATTGGTCTAGCAAGACAAGCTTTCTAACCATTACATCACGCCGAGGTGCCCAAGGTATATGTCTATGTAGAGCAAGTGTTAGATGAGTTACAGACACACAGGCATTCAACAGAATTTGCCGTTTATTTATTTAGATTAAAGTAAAAGAGAGAATGTATTTTATTTTGCCGATTATAGCGAGACGACAAAAGTCTTGTTTTTTACGTGAGTATATTTACTTTTATTACACTTGGTATTATATATGCTATAATGACTAACGCTTTTTATATTTCATGTTCATTTTTTGGGTCATAAACATTATTTATACTTTTAGTCCTTTTAAATACAGACATTCGTTATGCATTTGACTTCTGATAATTCACATGACAGTAATCAGTTCAAATTAATATTTATTTTATCAGATCTAAAACCTCCTTTATTTCGCCTCTTTCTTTCTCTCTCTTTGTATTTGATTCGTCCTTTAGGTTAATGCTTAGTTGATTTTGTTTAGCAGCATAGCAACACCTCTATGGGTTATGTAATGCCGAAATCTAAATATTTTGAACGCACTTTTATGCTTTCAACTACAGATATTTTGTACATAATTTTCTACGTTCTGGGTAAACGCAGTTTTTTTTTTTAGATATATACTTTGTAGATGGTAAATTGTCTTGGTTGAAAGTTTAAAAAATTGTACGTGTTGTTGATAATTTTACTACAAAATGTATCGTAGGTAATTTTACTATAAAATAAATTGCCGTTAATTTTACTCTAAAGATGTATTTTTATACAGTTAGTGTGGTATTGATTGTCATTTTGCTATAAAAATATGTTACTAGTAATTTTACTAAAAAATGTATAGCTGGTAGTTTTACTATAAAAATGTATTTTTGGCAATTGTACTATAAAAACATACCGTTGATTTTTATTTTGGGATTCACTGTTTTCCCATAACTGGGCCCCTAACAGGTGCTACCACTTAGAGTCACGGTGGACCGGGTAACAGCAGCAATTAAGAGGTGGTCCCGAGCTCCTCAAAACTTCCAATCTCCTGATTAGAGGTCTTGCTGCCGGGTGTAGTTTATCGTCATACCCAGGACAGTCGTCCTTTTGGGACGTGAGCGATCATCGCCCGGCAGAGCTCTTTTTTAAAAACAATATTCATCGTTTTTCGACTCTTTAGTGCCTGTCTTTGCTGCTGGTCTTATATTCCTTTAAAGAAATTCGTTAAATCGGTTACTCGCCGTTTCACCTTATTTCGCTTGCCTTCATATTATCTGGTGAGTATTAAATTCTCCGGGTTTTCTTTTCACAATATATAACTCGGTAATTTCATCCGTTTCTTTGTTTTTACTTAGCTTACTTAAATATTCCTCATTGCTCACATGATCTGTCCGTGGAATCACGTCCATTATACCTACATACATAGGTCCCTTTGTTCGGGTCGACTTACGGCCACATCACATTACCTATTCAGTTCCTTCCCCTTAAAGTCTTCTCATTCTCTTTCACTACAGTGACACCTTTAGCCTCAGTGGCATTATCGCCTTACGTGGGGTTAAATGATTAAAAAAATGTTTGAACACAATTACAAGGAAATATCTCTGTGTTAAATTTCCTTTCTTCCTTCCTTCCATTAAGGCTTACAGCCATATCACGTTGAAACACCGGTTCCCCTACGTTAAACGAAGTTAAAGTTAAGCAACGTCGTGCCTGGACAGTACCTAGATGGGGGACCGTTTGGGAATACCTGGTGCTGTAATTTGTGGTTGGTGTAATGGATAATGGCTCGGAATTTTAACCGAAGAGCTGAATTCCAGTGCCAGTTGGGTTCGTTATATTCATTTAAGTGCAAATACCCTTGGGAAAGGCATGAACCCAGCTCCTGTTCATTTTTCATTCAGATAACCGTTCCGTAGTGGGTCCCGTTAATTCCTTTTTTTTCACTTTTTCCGGTAAATTGCGCACTAACATGAGATAGATCCCGCCAAAGATTCCGATTTAGAGATGGCTCGTTCGAATCCGGAAATTTTTGGTTTTGATATTTTCATGTTTTAAAATTCACATGAAAATGATCCCGCCATTAATTCTTCAAATTCTAGATAGATACATAAATATGGAAAGAATGAGACAGCTACACACACACACACACACACACACACACACACACACACACACACACACACACACACACACATACATATATATATATATATAGTTTATGAAAAACTAGGTAATCCGTATGGGTAAACCTAAGGAGGATAAAATCCACAGAGCTCAATGTAAATCCAGAGCAAATAATTTAAATAAAAACAGACCACTTTAAGGTTCATGTAATAAATTATTTCACCACAGCCTTTTAAAAGACTGGGAACATCAGACTTTACTTCCAAAGTAAAGTCTGATGTTCCACAGTCTTTTAAAAGGGCTGTGGTGAAATAATTTATTACATGGAACCTTAAAGTGGTCTGTTTTTATTTAAATTATATATATATATATATATATATATATATATATATATATATATATATATATATATGTGTGTGTGTGTATATACACACTACAGACCAAACATTTGGGGTCACCCTTTATTTATTTACAAAATAAATAAATAAATAAAAATAAAAACAACTTGAAATGTGCAATTTTTTTATTTAAGTAACTACTGTGTATTTTCTTTTTAACTCTCTCTCTCTCTCTCTCTCTCTCTCTCTCTCTCTCCTGTCTCCTCTTACTAGCAAAAGCGTTCAACTTTGGAGTCGTCTTCTCTCCTTAACAAAGTTTTCTCGGTTTCTTATATTTTCATTAACCTCAGCCCCCACCCCAACACCTTATGTCTAAGCATGGATTGTACGAATGTTTTATATATTTTTTTAAGTCCCGCATTGATTTCGTCCACTTAACTGATGTCTCTGCCACAGTTAGGGCTGTGGGGGGTTTTACAACTAACAAAATTTTTGTTTAGTTTCTTGTATATAGATTTGTATTCATTGCAAATATTCATTGGGGTTTTTAGATGTTATTTTATTCTCCTCCCACCACAGACACATGAATTGTATATATGGGGACTAGTTAGAACTTCATAGAGACTCTGAGGCATTTTGGTGGATGTAGGAAGAATGGTATGTAATGGATGTGTTGTTTTGGTGAAAGGAACATTGTTTGTATGTTTGGGACAGTGATTGCAGCTAGCTAAGTTTAAAGTTAAGACAGAAGATGACCATCCTTTCCCCCTTTCCCCATTTCGGCCTTGTGCCACATTTGTATATCGTACACTAAATAATACACCTTGTGTCTAAGTTATTCCGTCGCCTTCCTTGGAGTGTAATGATTAAAAATGAATTCAGTGACTGAATAATTGACAATAAAATTTCTACTTAACAATTACTAAATTGCGGTACATACATTACATATTTTTGTATTTTGTTAAGTCGAAGATAAAATGTAAGTACCACCAGTGGAGTTTTTTTTTTTTTTCAATCTCTCTTCTGTCTCCTCTTACTACCAAAAGCGTTCAACTTTGGATTCGTCTTCGTGGCGGTTTTATTGACGAAAACAAAATATGATGCTGTTGTATGACAATTTTATTTATTCTTAAGTGCTTATTTTTTGTCAAAATCAAATCAAATACAGTTTAGTTACTCATACTTTAAAAGAATATACACATACGTTTTTTTTTTTTAAGAAGTGTAGGATGTCCCCAAACGTTTGACCTGTCGTGTATCTAACTACGGAAGACGTCGCAGAATGATCTCGACAAAAGAAGATTACTTAGCGCCACACTTTCTTTTCTTCGTTTCTTCAAATTATTCGTCTTACCTGCTGTTTGCACACCATCTCACATAGAAGAATGAAATCGTATTAATCCAGGCTAATTATGGAATCGCTTCATGATGCATAAGGAATCAACCGTTATTGTTGTTATTTTTTAAATCTGTTCTTCTATATGTTCCCGTCCTGTTTTTCATTTTTTAAGATAAATAACTACAGTGTATTTTCTTTTCTTTTTCAGTCTCTCTCCTGTCTCCTCTTACTGCCAAAAGCGTTCAACTTTGGATTCGTCTTCGTGGTGGTTTTATTGACGAAAATAAAATATGATGCTGTTGTATGGTATTTTTTATTCTTAAGTGCTTATTTTTGTCAAAATAAAAGCAAATACACTTTAGTTATTGAAATTTCATCTCATACTTTAAAAGAATATGGAAATATCTCATTTAAGCTGTTTTTTTTTAAAGAAATGCAGGATGATACCAAACATTTTTGCATGTAATGCGTGCATATATATATATATATATATATATATATATATATATATATAATACTAGGGTTGGAAAAAAGCTCGGATAGCACAACTTGCAGATATATGAAAAGAAATCGGTACCTGAGAAAAAAAATTGAAAAAAAAGAAAGAACCAAAAAAACATTTGAACAGGGCGAAGCAAATCGTCCAGTGCCTTCAGTCTTTAGTCCAAAGAAAATAATACAAAGCGAGTAGTAAATCTAAAACGTAGAGTGCTCAATAAGCTAAGTAGAGCGGGAATAAATAAAATAAATCCTAAAGAGCCAGGAAAATCTACCTAAGTTTTCACCAAGGTAGGTTTTCCTGGCCCTTTAAGATTTATTACATATACATATATATATATATATATATATATATATCTGCAAGATGTGCTATCCGAGCTTTTTTTCTAACCGAATATTAATATATATATATAATCTCCCTTTCCTACCGCTGTAATGTGGCTTCTGTGTGCCTTTTATATAAATATTTGCATCGTAATTGCTTTTTCTGATGAGCTTTCATCTTTGATATTTCGAATTTCTGCAAAGTACTAGCTAGATTGTCATATAGGTCTCACCATTTAATATGTCGAATTGCTAGATGTAACCATAAGTTCTATGCTAAAATTTTTATTCTCACACTTTTCGCTTGTAGAACCCTCTTCTGGTTTCTTGGTTTCCAATCAATTTTGATCTTCAAAAATTTAAATGAAACGTCAATCACCATTTTTGTGTATTTTTTTAAATTATTAATCATTTATTGTCCTCTAGTCATAATAATTTTTCTCAGATCCTTTCACACACATTAAACTCTTGCGTCTTAGATGCATTGTTGCCTTTACTTGTGGTGAAATGCATATATATATATATATATATATATATATATATATATTTTTTTTTATATATATATATATATATATATATAAACAAATTGAGACACATGGAAACATAGATGGATAATTAACATGCATAGATAGATAAATAGATAGAAAGATAATGAACAGACTTAGATAGATAGATAGATAGATAATGAATAAACTGGGATCAGAAAAAGAAACAAAAAACTGAAAGGTTCCCCCTGCAACAAGGTCAATGATAAAAGTTTATGGAGAAGTGATTGGCTAAGTGAAAATTTATGCAAACCGCTCCTCCATGACTACGAGTCAGAAAAAATAAATGTTAAAGCTATATTTCAATTTTGACCATAGTCAAAAATTTAACACTTTTCTTTTATGTCCCTTAAGAGCGTGAGCAATCGCGGTTCTCCACAACTTCTTGCCTCGTTTAGCTCAAATGAATGTTTGATTATTTACACACGTTCTCTGTTCCGGTATTCACACCAACTCGTTAGTTAGGCTTAATCGAGGTTCGAACCCTTACTTTCCTGTTTTCAATGTCTTGTAAGTGATATATAAGAATTGGCATTTTAAAAATGTCTATATCCTTATTTTATCATAAAATGTCTATATTCTGTTCTTATAAAACAGGTATATTCTGATTTTTCTTATAAAAATCTATAAACACTTCTAAGAAAAAGACGATATTATTTATTTATAAAATGTTTATATTCTTATGTTCTACTCAAAATTCTATAGACTTATTTTCTCATAAAATGTCTACATACTTTTCGCATAAAATTTCTATATTTTCATTTATTGTATATTTTGTAGTTTATTCTAAATTCTTCTAAGAGTCATTATTCTTACTTTGTTATAATTATTCTATATTCTTTTCTTATAAAAAGTTTACATTCTTATTTTTTTTATAAAAATTCCATATAATTATTTTCTCACAAAATATCTATATTGTTCTTTTTTAATAAAAAGTATATATTCTTTTCTTTTAAAAATTCTTTCTGTTTATTTTCTGGAACAAAAAGCCACTGTTCTTGTTTTCTCATGAAAAGTCTATCGTCTTATTTTATTTTATAATAGTCTATATTCATATTTTATAAAAGTCTATATTCTTGTCTGATAAAAATTCTAAGTTCTTATTTTTTATAAAAAGTTTATATTATTTTTTGTTTGACTTTTTGTTTAAGAAATTACCATACACATACTAATAAACAGATTCTAATCAGTCGTGCTAAAAGTCTTCATTTGAAAGTTAAGAAGCAAATAATTCAAATATTTATTTCATCTGAAATACGAGTTGGTATCCATAAGTTCCCTTGGGGATGAGTTCAGGTTTATTAAAAACATTTTCTATCGTTTTCCTTGTGGTAGGTCGAACGAAAGAATGTTTGACAAAATCATGACGGAGCATTTGCTTCAGCAGGAAATGTTTCCGAGCCTCACGCAAAACTTGATGCAGATATGTTAAATATGTCAGCCATTCTAAAGGATGCAGAGCCGTTCCAAACACACCGTTATAAAAATCTCGCATAATAAGTAAACACAAGTCTATAGTACAAAATCTACTGATACTGTATTCTTATTTTCATACAAAAATCTATATTCTTATTTCCTTATAAAAAGTTCA